CACCCCCCGGTAAGGCGGATCTGCCCCGCAGGCGGAGCGCGCCCCTCCGCCCCGCGCAGGACGCAAATCCCACCCCCGTCCGCGTCCCAGCACCCGGCTGCCTCATGCCAGGGCCCTGGCTTCAGGGCACCGCACCCAGACCCTCTCAAGATTTTTCTTCTGTCTGGGGTAAAACGACTTATTGCCACGTTAACTTTAGTTTAGGCACAGAACCCCTATAGAAGCTCGTTTTGTTAATAAAATATTTTGAATACATCTTGAAGCCCGACTAACAGTTTCGTGCAACAGGAAACATGCCCAACGTGAATTGGCTGTTTTCTCTTTAAATCACTCTAATTTTCCCCAAATTCAAATATCTGCAAAACAGAATACTTATAAAACACACTCCTACTAGTACCTTTTGCTTCAAAATATAGAGTTATCTTTCATCCATCTTAATTTTAGGTCAAGATCTAGGTAGTATGCGTTTTTGGGGTTTGGTGGTTGTTTGTTTTTTTTTAATGGCTTTAAAAAGGTTTATTAACACAGTATTTACAATGAGGTTCCTATAGTCCGAGGCTCAGATTGTCTTCCTTTGCCTTGAGCATTTATTTTGGAGCACCCACTGGCAGAACCTTAAAGATAACTCCGCAAAGGTAGCTGGTGTGTTTTTCTCTTTCCGTAGAAAATAAATCTTTTAAGCAGCTGCTTGGATAATGGGAGTTAGAAAACGGTGCAGCACAGTCAATGCAACTGTTAAAACTTGTACTTCCTGACTTTAATTATCTACAAGAATTCTTGGCCTAATGAGGAGGAAGAAAAGGATTAGTTCCTTTTTTATTATTTACACAAAAATATAGGCGGTCCTCAGTTAAAGCAATCTGAGTGTTCTTGTTTCACATCTTTGGTTCATCTGACAGATTTGCTATAAGTCAGGATAAACTTCATGGTAATAGTGGAGCACCAAAATGTCTTCTTTTTTTCATTGAAGTTATTTTTGTTGCAATGCCAGAAAAGTCAGTTGTCATAAAAATATTAAATACTTTGATATTTCTGTTATATTAATGCCATTTTAATTTGTTAGAAAAAAAATTCCCATAAAATAAACACAGACAATGTAAAAAGGGCCTGCGAATGTCATAAACTAAAATGATCGCAATTCTACCAAATCCACTACATTTTGGCTCCAAGAAAAGTTTTTTTATTAAGAAGCTGTGCCAAAATAATCACAATTTCCTTACTTTGTGTCATTTCAACGGATCGTAAAAGCCCAGCTTGGTTTTAACAGATGTCATCAATACTTGGACTAAATTCCGTTCTCAGCTTCAGCAAGTAACTCCACCTTGTGACAAAGTACCTGACATCAAAATTTATTCCTTAAAATTTTCTTACAGCCATTGGATCTATTACATTTTTCTTAACTGCCTATTAACTGAGCAGCCGGCGCTGCTGCCAACCTGCCGGCTTATGTTATTGTAGCTCACTATCAGGAGTGATTCGGCTTTGATGGGAACTAATCATGTTTGCACCGTAATCAAGTTTACACCATTTAAACGGTCAATTTAATGCAGCTCGAAAAAGCACAGCCAGCGTGTCTGATATTTCTCTCAGATCTTATATTTGTCTCGGCTCCTTAGCAAAACTATATTCACTTGCAGCACACGCTGTAATAATTATGACAGTGCGTTAAATGTTTGATCCTGTCTGCTCCACAGAGGTCAACCCCAGCTGAATTATTTAGGGAACTGTTTACAGGACTCGAATGGTATAGGCAAACAGGCACATGAATGCACAAACATGGAGGTTTTGAGAAACCGTAAATCAACTTGAAATGTAAGGCTGAAAGATCATCGTATTTCCTACTCATTCACAATTTGCTTTCCTCTTATTTTAAAACATCAAGGGAATATATTAGTATGCAAATCATCGGGCATCGGCACACGTGGTTTGGTGCATTTTTGTAGTTAATATTTCTAACCAGCGTTCTGAATGGCTACTGAGCGTCTCTCGCACACACATGCTTACATACATGTTGGTGGTTTACGTTTTCCCCAATCACAAACACAACATTCGTAAGTTAAATACATCGCAGACGCCGAAAGGGCTGTGATTTGGGATGAATGTTCTGTTCTATTTTTACTTTATCTTTTCATTCTCCATTTTTCCTATGTCCACCTACTCGCGCTCGTCCATCTCCCCAGAAGCTTTTTGCTGTCAGTCAAGTGACAACCTCAGTAGGAACAGCAGCTCTTCCTTTAGTATGCAATTCCACAGCCTGCAGGAAAAAATTCACCCAGCTCCTCTGAAAAGGCTTTTCCCACAAAAATGCAATCCCACTTACTCCACTCCCACACAACTTCCACACGACTCGGCTATTTGCAAAGGAGTGTAAAATAACCCCGGGAAGTTTAACGCGCCCACACAGAGTCTCATTGTCAAAGGGAATAATGCCCCAAAGGTGCACCTTTATCAGGCTTGGCACCAGAGAGTAACCGCCGGCTCCTTCCCCCTGCCAGCGCTCCGACGTGCCTAGCCTTCCCCTCCCTGGATTTACTGATTCTTAATGGACCTGTGAGTATTAAACAGTTGCCGATAAATTACTTGACAAAATTTATTGTTAGCTATTTGAGAATAACAGCTTTTTACTGATATGAGTAAGATTTCACTCCTCAGGTGATGTTTACGTCAGATGAAGTTGCAGTCTGTAGTGCAAAAAGGCGTAGTGGGAGAGCATCTACGTGAAGGTAATACGCATTTCTATAAACATCAAGCTGGCAGAATGATTTTGTTTCAGCTGGGATTAGCGGGAGTTTTGCTGCTGACCTCAATAAGAAAAGGATCAGGTTTATATCTTATTTGCAAATTCACACTGCAAAAAGGTGAGCTTTAGGCACTGCAGATTATTTACACTTCCTCTTCTTAATCGTGCCCATCATCACGAGAGTTTCCTATTTATGATGCCTTGATACTGATTACAGGACCTGTGACAGTGTCTTTATTTGGACTAGGCACATGTGACGACTTGACAATATACAGACAGACAGATGCATAGATTTTTTGCCTTTTCTAACCAACAGTGCTGAGGAAAACTAGATAATCGTAAGTGAAATGTAACAGGATTTTAATGACAATTGGTGTAGTACCTTTTATTGCATTGCTCCTGACAACACAATTCACATCTCATTTATTTAAAATTTTAAAATTTATAATACGCCATTATGAAGTTCCTGTAAGGAAATCCTATCACCAAAACTATTTACAAAGCCAGGATCCTTTATGATGCAGTTTATGTTTCCTAAAATAAACAAATATTAAAGGGCACTGGCAAAAGGTAAAATCTCAAAAGCAGCACAGATGAAGCAAAGAGAAATAAATGCACCTGGACGTCAAACCAGGCATTACCTACCACTTTTCACCTAATAAGCAGATCAAATGTAATAAATACAAGTGCCCACCTCCACAACGTAGGTGTCAGCTTAGCTCATTGCGGCTCTCACCCTCAGTAAGACCAGGGGGCAAGCAGCAACCTGCAGGTTTTTCCTGTGAAAGTGTGACCAATAAACCAGTGCAAATAACTGTATAAGGCTGCAGGTTGTTTGCAGTGTTAGCACAGATGCTTGGCAACCCAGAGAGGAATGCGCCTGCTTACGTTTCATTGAAAGGTTATTTAAAGCTGCGGAGGTTAACAGACACCTTAATTATTACAAACTGCTTTCGAGTATCGCTGGCTTTGTACTGCCAGTCCTTAGCAGCTGTGCTTCTTACTCATTCATGATCATTTGGGAGTAGCCTCAGCTTCCAGAAAATAAAAGTTACAGGGATGAAGATGTAGGACTGGCGGGCGCTGGCAAGCGGCGTTGGTGGGAGGATTGCTGCTGGCAGCGGCCAGGGCCACCAGCCAGAGGGGAGGCTGCACAGGCAGGCTCCTCCGAAGTGCTCCTCGGAGCCGCTGCGAGAGAGCGTGCTTGATTAATAACGAAACAAAAGTAAGCGAAATAGCCTCTGCCAAAAATTCTGGGGAAGCTGTAGCAATTTCAGTGGAGCCTTAGTTGAATTTGAAGGGTAAAGCTAAAGTCTAAGCACAGAGAATTGAAAACTACATCCAGATTTCTTTAAAAGCACACACCCACCTTTCTGCATTAGGAAAAAACATTTAGTCAGACAGACTTAGTTTTCCTCTTTCAAGAACAGGGTCAGTTTAAGATTTCTGAACTAGATTCTGTCATGTACTAAGGTAAAGTTGAATTTTAGTAGCAGCTTAGCTCCTAAGCTTTAATAGGTAGGCAAGAATCGGGCCCTTCAAATGAAACAGAATAAATCTAGAATTAATATAAATGAAAAAAATGTTTCCCAAATTTGTTTTCATACTGGAATTTTAGGTTTTCTGCCATAATTTACTGCAGGCAATATTAAAAAAAAAAAAAAAAAAGGATACAGGATTACTTTTATAGCACCACTAAATGTTCTGTATAAATAAAGATAATTTTTGTGCAAAGTCTCTGAATTGTCTTTTTGGTGAAATAATCAAGGGAACAGAGCGTCAGAGCTCAAATTCATTTTTATTCTGTGTGTTCAGAGACAGCGATCTTTTCAGAGATTATTTATGCAATGATGGTACCAATCAAACTGCATCAAGACAGGTTCCCTACAGAGCACTGAAGATTTCTGGCACTTCTAATAGAGTGTAAATCCTAATTAACTCAGATTAAACCATCCTATCTGAGACAGTCCACCTATTCTTCTGAACAAAATATTTGCAACCATATAGAAGAAAACTGTTTGTGTTTAAAATAAGAAACAAAACCAACCCCTCCTCTTTT